GAATTCCGACGATCAAGGTGTGTGACTCTTATTATTTGAACAATGTGAGCTTAAGAGTTCTACTACGTATTCCTAGCTATGGTAGGCTTCATTTTCAAAACGACATTATAAAACAATAATTTTATAGATAGATGAGATATTTTCAGCAAACTCCGATAGGATCAGGAGAGCTCACCGATGGCACGATCGTTTCGAAAACTATTAAAAGTGACACGAACTATACACCAACAAGTGCGGTATGTTGTTCAACTGCCATTATAGGATTTTCGACATGGGACAGCATACATCGTATTTATACTGGTGTCGATCTCCGACTTTTGTAAAATCATTAATGGGGAGCTCAATCAAGTAGTATTGTGAAATGTTTACTTATATCCGGCTATATAACACTGGCCAAACAGTGTCTATATTCAGTCTTAAACTGTTATCCTATTCGATAGCTATGAGATTTTTCTAAAAATTTCACATGAATAGAATCTTTCAACTCCTCACATGAGTAGTAGTCAGTGAAATATGAGGATGCTTTATTTTTAGCGAAAACTGTTGAAAGTGGTATACGACTTGGGGTATGGGCACATTCATAAGAAAAAAAATTAAGGCTATTTGTTCACAGTATTGAACCTCTGTCAATGTCAGGATCAGCCATAACGTGCCTGTATGCAACTTGTTTCGCCAAATATTTGATGCCTGAGGGCCTTTAGTGGAAGTTGAGATATCGCCCATAACAGGAGATGGTTTCGACTATTGCTTTGCCATCTGCATTAGCAGACGTAAACTGTGCTTTTCAACTGCTAACTTATATCTGAAATAAAATGAAAGGCCTTTGTTCCTACTTTTAAGTGTCCTTTGGAAAACAACGAAGTGTTAAAGGACGATATAGTAAACTCGGTCCTCAGAGGTTTTATGGAAGATGGAAAATGAGGCATTGAGACAACTTCAGCGTTTTTGTCGTCGTCTATGAACGGCTTTTAGAAAAAGGTTTTAAACTGTTAGAAGCATTTCTGAGCTGCATGTTGCTATTTAAATTGTCGCCGCGAATTCCGTACAAGTATCAATTGAGGCAATCATTTCTACAGAAAAGTAACTCGAAAAAACCATGTAGTCTAATTAATTCTTGGTATTTTAACTACGACACTGCATTTCGACTACTTGAGAAGCGCCAATACGAAAGAGAAACTCAGTGCCCGTTTAGTCATTTCAAAGCCAGGTAACAGTTGTCCCTAGAAGTTAATGAAGTTCTTAACGGTTTTCTAAGAATTCGAGCTGTCAGCAGTTTGTGACTAGGCGCTGAAATGCTGTATTCTGCACTAACACTATGTTTATCACATACTAACTTTGTTAGATGGTTGAATGGCCCACATTCACTGAAAGTGTAGATCGTAGAGCAATTTGCATTCATTTCTCAGGTTCATTCATAGTTTTGAAATCGTTTGTTCCGACGAATGCATATGGTTGACGTTATCCGCAAATCTCTTCACCAATTATTTAGGTCGTCCTTGGAGAGGGCGTTTATAATCTCTTGGAGCCCACTCCTCTGTTTTCCAAGTTCTTTTGTCATCTGTTCTTATTATATGACCCAACTATCTGTATCTCGCTATCGATTTATATTTTTCTGGATCCCAATATGAGATTTGCTTCGAAGGTCCAAGCTACTCATTCCGGCTAGACGTTGTGAGTTCTGGTAAAATTTGCGAAGATATCGTTCAAGGATTCTGTGGGTGCTAGGCACGGTTTTTTGGCACGGTTGAAGTATAAGGCCATATCTCTGGCGTATAACAGAATACTACGACGACCGCTAAGCTGGATAGATGAGCCTGAAGCGTTGCATCCGTTAGTTGATCCACGAGTTCTTTGAAAGACCGAATGCGGCCCATGCTGCCCTTTTTCTTCTGTTTAATTCCTCCTTCATGTTGTGCTCCATGTTCACCGATCGTCCAAGGCACACATACGAGGTGATCTCTGTAATCAAAAAACCAACCTGTTCCATTTTTCAAACTTCGCCCTAGTGGTTTTTCAAGAATTCATTCTTCGTCCTACTTATGCACAATCGAATCTTTTTTCCCGATTCGCTGAACTCATTTTGTATTGTCTCTGCTCCGTTGGGGCCTTCTGAAAAGGTGGCGTGCTCTTCCGCGAAACGAGGGCTTGAGAGGAATTTGCCATCAATTCGTATGTCATTTTCGTCCCAATCGAGTTGGTTCGTTATCCACTTCAATGCAGATGTAACAGCTTAGGCGAACCAGTGTTGCCTTGTCGAATCTTTTTTGCTATGGCGATGAAAAAGCAATATATTGGTAATACAGTCTTGACAACAGTCAGCTGGAGTTCTTATAAAATCCACTTTTTGGCTGACGAGTTCTGATGGAATTGCATTTGTTTCGACGTTGTCAGACATTTTTCCATTGTCTGTGCTCCAAGGTTCTTTACATGCTCAGAAGCATCATACTGGTGGACAGTTTGCGAAGTAAGCTCAGCAATTTTACTGGACGGTAGTTACGAATATTCCTTCGATCAACTTTCTTATATAGGATGACCGTGTTCGACCACGTCCACTGATCCAGGATTTTTCCTGTGTCCAATGTAAGAGATCATATGGGTTTCGTTAAGTACATATGAATTGTGACCACCAGCTCTAAGAAAATTGGTGATAACATCATCTGGTCTTAGACTTGTGTCTGTCTTCTGCCTTCTATGGTAACTTGAACTTCGGAGGGTAGAATTCCTGGTGGCCTTTCTCCAGCACGAATTGGGGTGTCCGAAACGGGGGTTGTGGGGTGGAAAAGATTGTTATAGAAATTTTCCGTTATCACTCGTATATTACGTAAAGATGAGATGATAGCCCCATTTTCTTTCATCGGAGAGGGTGACGAAATATTGTAGTGGCACACATGCCGACAACACTTCTTCAGGATAAATAATTTTGTAGTCGGTTCCAGTAACTGCACCTTTCCCTATTCTACCGACGTTAGTCTTCCTGGAAAGATTTTCTACAGCTGGAATTTATTACCAGATAGATTTTCTAGGGTTTCATATGCGATAACTCACCAGATTTATCATAGTTGAAAACTACTGTTTGCCATAAATGTTTCCCTTTAATAGGAAAGAATGTGGGCCAGAATGTTGAGATTTATACAGTTGTATGTTTCAGACTACAAGGAAGTGACTTTTCAACATCTACACTATGCAGGAATAAATTTTTTGCAGTTTTGTTCTCCTTCAGAAACATTCAACAGTTGTGAAATGTGTTTAGCGAAGAAAATAAGCATAAATTTATTAAAACAGCGACTCAGTATTCGATTCAAAGCGGCAATATAATCGTTGCCAACGGAAAGCGGATTGCCCACAATTACTTTAACTATGACCAGAATGGTTGAGTGGATAGTTGAGCAGTCCCACTGCTCATTATTCGCAATTTCATTCCCCATAACACTGGAAGAAACATCAACACTGTCAACAAAATAACTTGATTTCTCGAAGCCAACCTTGGAAGTGACTTCCAAACTGGAGATTCTCTATCCGAAATGCCATACTGAAAACAAATTATGTGACAAATCTTTCAAAGGTCTGAGAACGACAGTTTGTCTTGAAGAAAATACATATGGGAAGATATGGTTCTTGCTTATATAATAACATACCGGTACAGTACTGGGGCATAAAAGAAAGAATCCTTCGGCCAGTGGCACTTCATTGCTGGTTTTAATAACATTATGCTCATTATGCTTGGTGTAATCGAGGTGTTCATCTTTCTGAGGTCGGTGCACCATCTAGGAAGATAAAAGAGACTGGCTTGATGGGCAGGTCCTCGAAGCTCATTGTTATGGACCATGCAGGCATTTGATCACCTCTACGGGGCTTGATGAAGTCGAATGTATGGCTAGGCTTTCCGGCATTGATTAACGCCAAATGCTTTGTCCTGTATCCTATTATATAGTCATTGCGCCACCGACGAAGTTTGTTATAACTCATAATGGTGGAAGCGAAGATCATTGGTTCATTCGACGAAGAGGATAGTTATTATAATTAGTCATATATGAAGAAGAACTGTGCACAATGTTTTATTAAACACTACAGTCATACATATGACGATAAATGGCTATCCGGCCTCTTTCTACACAACCATAAAAGTGGATAATTTGAAAATTTTTCATCTCTTTTCGCATGAGTATTGATTTTGGTACTGCGACAGGAATGTCGCGAAGGACCCTGTCTAGTTCGAGCAACAGAATCAAGTGGACACAGGCGCGCATAGTGCAATGGTTAGAGGTGTTGTACAATACACGCCTGGTCCTTCTTGATTTGATTGTGTTAGGTTTGCCTGGGAAGATAACTGACTTGATACATTGGTAGCTCACCGCAGGTCACTGTACAAGCCAGATATGCATTGAATCACCAGGATGATAATACGAAGTGAGTCAAGTGCACGTCCCATCAATTAGCGATTGATTAATGGTGAACACTTTTTACGTCTTCATGTACATACATAATTGCAATTGTAGATTTTATGGTGGCTGCTCTCAAAACACTAGTCTCCAGGTGACAAATGCAAGCATATGGTAAGCTTTCCGATAGAGTAAGAGATACAACTGACTACCGAGATTTTGATCGTTGAGGCGTTGACACAATCCTATAGCCTTGACACGACCTTAAGCTAATGATCGAGTTTCATCACCAATCAATACACATGCATTATTGCTCCACTTGGTGCGGATCAATGTTAACGCAATATTAATATTGGTTTAGAAAAAAGTGAGGATGTGCAAAAGAAACGGCAAGGACAAGTTATTTTCTAGAGAGAAAAATACAGGATAAAAATCCGTCATTGATTTAGGAAACGGATCGAATTGATCGGTTCAATTGTAGGAAGTTGTGGAAAAGAATCAATAAAAAACAATACCTCGTATGTTCACAGGAACACAATATAAAAGAAAAGCAGACAATCTTATGAGTGCTTTTGGTTAAACAATTATTGGTTAGCGTTCACTGACTACTTGAAGCTTTCCTTAACAATTTCTAGAATGAATAAGATACTTGCAACAATGGGTTAGTAATTGACGACCATTAACAAGCTGATCGTCCTGTCGGGTGTAGATGTCCAGACCGTATTGACCCTCTTCGGGAAAATCAATTTGTATGGATATCTATAAAATGATACCAGCATGATCATGAAAATACTAAAAATTATAGCACTCAAAACAGCAAACATGTTGGCAGCATATCATTTAATCTCTGTTTTCATATTGTGCCTTCGATCAATGAGATCGCATGAGATGAACAAATGATGACTAACTGCACCTTGCGTTACTAGTGAGAGTTACTGGCTATATATATTTGAGTCGAATTTAGGCCGAAATTTACCGACCACATATGGTAAGTGAAGATGATGGGCCGAAACGCTGGGAATTACTAGTGTGTTTGGATCATTTCTAATTAGCGAGGGTTACAGTAATGAAACGTCGCACTGCAACTTGCAGTGCCTCTTGAGTGCGGCACATTCTAACGAACTCTTACAATATGGCCGCCTTCTGTGATAGTTTATGCTTTAATTCATGAAATATATATATGCACACCACGCTTAAGATCTTTCGGACGCTCTTTCCTTTGCGAAATAACTTCCTGATTTATGGTGACGTTGCAGTTTCAACAGGTGCACTAAGAAAGAGTTCATTCATGAAATAAAGAGAAACTGGCAAACGAAGTGAAAAATGATGGTACTCTAGTGTCAAGTTACAGTTAATAATCGTTTGAGAAGAAAAAGCTTAAGCGTTTCTTCACTCTACATGTGAAAGAACGCACCTGATCGTCTTTGAAGTGAGTACGACAGCAGTCTTGCAAAACACGGTCATCGGTGCGATTGCGATGCAACGCAGCGACCACTTCACAAAGGCGCTTCGTCATCCTATAAGCACAAAAGTTCGACTCAGAGCTGAGCACCACACGAAGCAGAATGGTAACAACAAATTGGGATGCTTCAGGAATCCGGAGTGTTTTTCGCCATAAAGTCGTAAACAATTAGGGTTTATTCCGTTAAATAACTTTGACAGATCCATTCCACGGAAAATGACGCTCATAGAAGGCAAAGCTGAGCCAGGATGAAAAACGGACGAAGAGTCCTCGATAATCACTAGACCTGTCCTACATCGTTGGCGTCTTTAAAAAACTCGAGCAGTTTTCAGTTCAAATTTTTTTTACCTAAACTTAATTTCAACGCTTCGTCCAGCGTTCACAATCGCGTCGAAGTGTGAGATCGGTCGTAAGCCGAATAATCGTGTGGCTTTGGCCGGACCCCATTCTCCGGACGCACATTCCGGCAGCGGCACCATAATCACTTGCAAGGAGTCACAAACCACCTGAAACGTTCATGTCCTTGGCAAGACTGTAAACAATAATTCCCACTGGATTCCTATGTAGTCACACCTACACCCGTACTCAATTTGTGGGTTGCGTCTCACTAATCGTTAAATCTTGTTCGAAATTTCCAATTTTAGCATTCAAAAACACTTTTTTCAGCCCTTCACGTATTTTGTACATCTGCACCTCATCAGAATTCCACGGCATTCGATATTTACGAAACAGGGTTACCTTAAATTTGCAAACACTCTTGAACTTAATCGGTTGTCCAGTAAGATAATGTGCAGAGGAGACGCTGTTGGCGAAGATGTCCAACAGAAGTGGTCGAGTAGAAGGAGCATGAACACGGAACATCACGACCTAACGAAGTCCATTCTCAGTAAAACGTACGGTTTTGAAGTCTGTCACAAAAAGTGCTTACCCCGTTCGATACTGACTGCATAACGAATCGCTTCAAAGACAATCCATTTAAGGTATTCTCTTCAGAGTCGAAGAATTTGAGATTGTAGTGGAAGATCAGATTGTCACCATATTTTTCTGGTAGCCTAATAGCTACCGAAGTAGCACCTGTCTTGTCGGTCTGCAATGGGAAAAAGTGGAAAACTTCGAAGATGTTCTCATGACTACGAAATCTTTAAACAACAGTTTGTAGAAACTCCCAAGTCCGACTTTCTATTAACCTCGGCATTGATTGAATATATCTTTCTACTTCTGTTCAGCAAACCCGAGGTGAAAACAGGCAAACACCTCGTGTTTGATGAACAGAAGTAGAAAGATATATACAACAGTTTGTGTTTGCGTTCAGCTTAAAATGCTTATGACCTTCTAACACATGTATTTCTTTAATTAAACGAGTTACAATGACACGTGGCAGCTTGCAAATAAAACTTACATAGAGAGTACTTTCCAGCTTATTATCTACGAACGATAGCCCATACTTGAAGAAGAGACTTCTCACGAACGGAATTCGCTCGAATTGTTTCAGGGTGATCGGTCGTTTCAGTAGTTGCCAATTTGGATCGTGTGGTAAGAACTCGTATATGAACTCCTCAAAAGAAGGTATCGTGATCAATTACACCAACAGTTCTTTCCTTTTGAGATGGACTTCTCAACTATATGACCACCTAAAAAAGACTTCCTGTGACCCAGAATTAGGTCCTGTTACAAGGCAACTATAGCTGTTGTATAAATTGCGCAATACTAAAGCATCATTTATTATCTGTAGAAATCTGAATACGTGACCCTAACACTTCAAGATCGAGAATTGATTCGTTAAGAATGCAGGAAATCCACTGCAGGATTCACATAGGGTGCAAATTTTGCTCACATTCCGAAAATAAAAATCGTTTAACTATGTATACAACGTATTCTGCAAAAGAAAATGCCTAAGTTTTTAACATTACCTCAGGATCTGTCATGAAGTAGTGATCGTCATATTCGTAGCGAAGATTACCATCATTACGATATTCGTTCTCACTATCCTTGGCGTTTCTTAAAAACTCACACCTGGCCAGAGTAATAGATAGTAAAAAGTACGGAGTGCAAAGAAGTATAGCCGAAAAATTCCGAATATATTCTAAAAGTAAAATAAAGGATAAAGCTCTCGGTATTGATCTATCCCTGAAAGATGCGCCAGACTTCATTAAGAATCGTTGGAGGTGATTGAATGCATATCTGGCCTTTACAATGACTCGCGGTGGCCTACCGATGTTTCGTGGTCAGTGGTGCTATCCACCCAGACAAGTCTGGTACCAATTTGCCGACTCCACAGTGATGGAAGGCTTAGTGGGCCAGGGGCGTAGGGATCGATATCATGTGTGTGCTGCAGGGCGCCTCCGACCACTGCGGCACACGCATCCTTGAACGGAAACTCTAGAAGCGTTGCAATAAAATCAAAAGGTAGTTGTTAATCGGCTAGCACGACTCACTGAGTGTTGTGCTTCAGATGAGAACAAATGAATTTTGAAGTGGAATTGCTGGATGGTAGGGAAATTGAGAAAAAATCTACACTGCCAATTTTTCAACTAGGTAATGCTTGCAGGAAATCGCTTGACTTACACAAGATGACGAGCTCCCCAGTTGCATTGTACGAATCGCCACGACCCGCTGAGATAAACGGCATTCCATGTGTTTCTGCAATGCGATAAATATCGTGCTTCAAATATTTCTCTAATACGAACGTTCAAACACTCGTTGATCCTCCGAAGATCATGAAATTTTTGGTTAAGGTCTCAAATAGTTTGCGCATAAGAATGAAAGAATGATAAGTGAATCTCTCGATTTCATGAGACGTAAAGGCAAATCGAATGCAGTTCAAAACTATTTCATTTCATCTCTTTCATACCTAAGCCCAAGCCTAAACTAGAGAAGGTGCAAAGAAAGACTTGGACAAAAATCGGTTTCCATATCCAAACGCACAGAACTGAGTGACCTGATAGACAGCCTAAAGAACATGAGCAAACCCATATTATCATACACTTTCCAACAGTCATTTTTTCCCTGATATTACGGTAATTCTCTGGTTGCTAATAACATAAGTAGCAAAATTTAAATGAGGAAACCTGAAACGATTGTCGTCAAACGAGTAGCCAGGCTGATAGCCAGCCGACTTCGAGTAGCCTTTGATCACCACACAGTGTAATCCTGCGTAACTGCAATTCATTGAAGAAGTCATATAAAGTTATTGCCATTAGGCAAAGAAAACTCAACATATGATTTAAAGCAGATTTAGATAGTTACAGAAAATGTTGCCATACATTTCCTAATTCCTTTTTCCAGTAACGAATATGTTTAGTTACAAAAATTTGAAGGAAAATACGTTTTCTGTGCTTGAAAAGCGGGTTAGAGCATATTGTTTTGCCTAAATAAAGCTTAGAAAGCCCTATTCATATAAATTTTTTCACTCTGTCCTAGTAGCCTCAACAATATGACATTGGTTAAGTTCACCTGCATAGCCGCTTAAAGAGCACGTGATAGCTCTCGGTACCATATTTGATTCCACGTAGCAGACCCATCGGTGTATCGTTCTCGATCGACTCGTCGAATATCATCGTATTCAAATTTTTAATGGTTATCCAGCGATAAATAGCTCTGAAAGACAAAGAACTTTGAATGTAACATCTTGAAAAATTTGTAGCTTTTGTTAGTTTAGCAAAACACCGTTGAAATAAACTGGCTTTTTAAGCAAAGTATTTTATAAACTCTATTCCTTCAAGCACGTTTGCCACAAAATCGTCTGGAATTTGTTCGTAGACCAATAAACAGTTGTTTGATGACTGTCAGCTTTTGCCGTTATTGATAACTGAGCATTTTTCAACTTCATTAAAAAGGAAACCTGTAGAGCAGCGGTCGGAGGTGCCCTGGAATACAAACGAGATCGATCCACGCTATGTACCAAACATCTGGGAGAATAGCAGCACTAGCTGGATACATCGAGAAGGCACCACGATTCATTGTAAAAGCCAGATATGGATTCATTCACTTCCAACGATGCTTAGTGAAGTCGAGTGCATGGCGCACCCCTCAGAGATTGATCAACGCCAGAAGCTTTATCCTTTTATCCTTTTTTATTTAAAAATGGATAAGAGTTTGTGCTTCCATGGAAAATGCTAGGAAGGGCCAATTATTTAAGTCAGCTCAATTTTGACGATAAATTTGGGTTAGGATGTTTCATTTGCTCAGATAAACGGCTTTTCTGAGGTTATACTTGCTCTTCAGCACTAACGTTTTCACTTTTTTATATGACCCCACATTACACATTGTGCGGATTCCACCAGTTCCTTGATTCGATCGTCTTTCTCGAAGCCGTCGTCCATGGAAGTCTTTAGATTTTCCTTCGAGTTTGGCCGCACATTCGTGATTTAATATTTTCCGTGAAAGCCATTGAATACTGTTCTTGTTCATAGTGAAATTCTAGGACAACTGCGCTAGTGCGTTGCCAGGTCCCTTCAACACAGGCAATCGCTAGAGTTCATGGATCGTCCAGAAGGATGCGAGGATTCACTAAGCCGTGAAGAGTTGAACATTGTGTGTATTACTGCAGGGTGCAGGGTCAACATTAACCACCGTGAAAACAAACCAGATATTTCGTATAGCTGATAAACTGCTAAAAATTCAGACGACTACTACGGATATCCATTTCACTTAAAATGCACTTTATTGAGAATTTCGTCTCATTTGAAGGAAACTTTCAGAAGCTCCAGCCTACCGCGCCATATCGACGTCGTTCCTCGCTCCGCTTATCAGCGCTCGAATCAAGTCAGTGAACGTCGTCATTTCGCTACGTGCACAATGAATCGCCACCTCATCGATTGACTGCAGTCGAGTAGTAGATGATGTGTTAAGTTCCAGCGTACTCAAACTCCATACCACTTACCGAAAAATACTCGGTACTTGTGTAGATATCACGTTTACTACATGAAGGCGGATGAGGCGGTGGAGGTGTTGAAGGATAAACTGAGCTATTGTACGAGCTGTTTGCTTGTTCCTGCAAGCATAATCATTTAAACAAAGTTAGCAACCCTGCTAGGATATCCCACATTTAAATCTGAAGTATTTTGCCCACAGCATAGCGGTCCACAAATCCTACTTCTAAGATTATTGCTGATGTGACAGTCGCCTTATCAACTGAGACGAAAATCAGTAACTCACTGATCGGGCCTGCTTGAACAAGTCCAGCATCTCACGCGCTTGCCTGTCTACTAATTCAGCAGTCTGGTGACGCTCGCGTTCCTGAAAAAACGAAGAAAACTAAGCACCAATCTGGATATCAAATAGTATAATAAATTTCCGTTCTTAACCAAGGACACTGGTAGTGTTTTCTTTAAAAAAATGCTTCAAAAATATAAAATGTGGTTTTCAAAGAGGAGTTCCTTTAGAGAATTAAATACACTTGATTATGCACTCAGTAGTCATTTCTTGTGAAGCATACCCTTCGTTTGTTGTGAAGTGTTTCCAGTTTTTTCTCCCTCTTGATAGTTAGTTGGCGTATCAGATCGTCCTTGTTACGCATGTTGGCTTGACCTTTTTCGTACTTTCGTGCAAAATCCGCTAATGCCTGTTCCCATTCCTCCTTCAAAAAAGACTATTCATTCGATATTATATGTAACTTACATAGTTTAGAGTGATTTACTAGGTTGATAGAAACAGTTTCTCGCTCTAACTCTACTTTTCGCAAGCTTAAACAGGAATCATATAGGATGACACTAAAGGAAATGTCCGTGCGAACAGGTTTCCGTAGAAAGGATGTGCGCTTTCATTTTGATGTCTAACTCAACAGATTTCTAGTTTGTGTAGAAGAGTTCTCCGAGAGTCTTCTGTGTCTCAGACCTTTTTCGATTAGTAACTGACCAAGTAGGTTTATCAATGTCACCTTTCTGCTTTTCGACCCAGATCGAGACTACGAAATGTTTCGTGCGTTGATGTGGAAGGTTCGAGCTATTTTATTTACAGTTGGGAAAACAGTTCAACTGCTTTGTAGGTGAATATTTCTAACTACACTTGATCTTTAAGTCATCCCACTCACTCTGGTTTCTGTTTCAAACTGTTCGCTTTCCTTAGTTCTCTGGTTCTGAAACGATTCATACAACTGATCCTCGGCTCGTCGATGAAGCAACTCAAGACGCGTCTGTGCGTCGTAGTCCTACAAAATACTATGGATAGCTTAATTCCTGATCAAAGATCCATATCTAGAGGTTAACACCGAGGCCGATGATGATTCGTTATGATATTACTCAGAATTCCTGGCACGAGGTGAAGCTATAACAGAGGAAAAAAACACGTACCACTGCATAATGGGCTCCTTCATGAATGATTTTTGGATATGGTTTAGCCACTTGTGTTGCTTTGATAGCATGTGCAATTTTCATATCCTCCAGGCCGGCATCTCTACAAGAAATAAGTTCAGGAAGGAATCATCCCCATAGAATTTATTCAGCGATATATGATTTTTAGAAGAACTCACGTATCCCAAGTAACCACATAAGGCCGAATCACTTATGAAAAGCCAAGTTGTATCAAACCGTTCCTTAGTCATTCCAGCCTTTATATCATTGCTATGAAGTACTTCTCAAATCAAGGTGTTGGTGATAGATTTTTCAAAAAATTCTCATATATGGACATAAGTTGCAATACCATTGTTCTCTCCAAAAAATGTAGCTCCAAACATGAATGCTACATGCCGTTATCAGCAAAAGACACGCCTTCCTTTATGGTTTGAACACTACTGTATTGCCGAAATCTCTGTTTTGTAGACCACATCAGCATTCTAGTACTTTGCTTGTTTCATTCCTAAGTGAACCAACACTTCAAGTGAAAAAAGCTGTTCCTATGTTTTTTCGTGATAATCATTAAAGGACAAAAGCACCGACGTAACTGCATGTTACTGAGGTCAAATGGGAGAGTGAAAAAACAAAGCTGGCGAAAATGACTAGTTTCACTTAGAACACCTCTCGTTCTCTCCAAATGAAGGAAACTGAGCACTGAATTGACTCCAAATCAAATTCGACTCTACCAAAGAACCGAAGGAAAGGACTAGTTCCTATGAAGCTCGTCACCCATTTAATTCCAATAAATTGTGATATTTTTCGAGTTGCAAGTTCTTAGCTAAGAACCAATGATGACATGAACATAATTTTATCAAGAAGTCATAATTTTCAGGGCACGTAGTGCAGTTATAGTGTTGCCGTTCCTCATAAACACCTGCTGGTACGACTCTGACAAGGACTCTCCAAGTTTCACATTCTTCCGAGTACGGAAACTAGTACCAAACTAGCAAGGAAGCAGCTCGTTTTCCGCTTCGAAACGCCATGGTGCAGCAACAAAGACTCCAGGGAGAAACGGCTCGTCCAGTTTTCAACCACACTCATAATGAAGACGAGAATCCTCACGCAGCAGACGAATGCACATAAAAGTTCGAAGACCTTAATGGATGATGGGTGCGGGAAAACCAAATGAGTGCAAAAAGTGCTGGGATCCACATAGTAGGTGTGAAGACGGGTAACACAAAAAATGTCCTTATTGAACAGAAAGAAAAAACATGATAAGAGAGAAGCATTCACAAATGTCTGTTCAACATATTAAAGGTCCTCGAAAAAAAATATTAATTAAATTGAAAGTTTAAATAATTATTGTACCCAACAGGGGTGGATAGCACAGCAGTAGTGACGCTGATCATCACAAGCATGGTGCTGGGTTGATCCGTCTCCTGGTTCACCAAGCCTTTCATCTCTCCGCGATCAGAAGACTGGTGTCGAAGCTGCCCGAAAAAAAATGGCTCTCTTCAACACAAATGGGAATGCTCTGGCCCGACTATCTCAGGACTCCAGTGAGAATTGACTCGACCAGCATTCAACCGACATTCATGATGAAAGGAAAATCCTCAAACAGTAGCCGAAGCCACACGTAAAAAGTTGGAAGACTTTTGTTTACGATGGGTGCGAAGAAAAGAATCGTACGTGAGAAGTGCTGGGATCCACACATTAGATGTGAAATACGAGTCGTAAAAAACATCAAACGTAACAACTGAACAAGCAATAATAATGCGAACTGATGGCAGAAAGAAGAAAAAAGAATCTTTGTTTGTAAAATATCTGAGATGCTTCCTGAAGTTTGGTAACTGAGCCAGAACGTTTCACCCAGTTTTTTCATCCAATATGTTGCAATTCTCTCCCACCACATGAAAAATTTGGAACATTTTCTATGGGAGCGCATTATCTAACAACAATCTAACAACAACTGCCACATCCTGTCCATCTGATTGATTGAAGAATATAAATATAACAGTTCCCATACATCTAATTCTTTCGTAGATCTATATGGAAACCAAGTCAGCTCCTTACGCTGCGACTTCTTACGAAGACCGCTAATCTAGATGATATCTGTCTTCGCGCCTTTATTTCTGTACCTCATCCTCTTTCTCACTCTTCCCCCACCTCCCTCTCTCTCCCTTTCCCTTCCTCTCTCCATTTTCTCTTTCCATACACAGTTCAGCAGTTGCAGATAACTTATAACATAGGTTTTGTTGAATTGCATTTCCCAAGTTCGCTTAGCGAACTGATAAAGAGTCCAGAGACTCCCTACTTTTGTAGCAAAGAGTCGGTCCAACCACTGTAGCTCTACCAATTTAAAGGTTAATACGTTGATGCTTCATGATCTTTGTAATTAGAAATATTCTCAGAAAATTCAAACACAGTACTTCTGACAGAAGTAATGGCTTCTTTCATAGTTTCAAATACCGATATTGGAACGAAAAAGCCAAGTTATTTAAATGACCTTCGAAATTAACCTTCTATATGAGTTGCTGCTCTTTCCAGTCCCATTCTCTATTGGTGATCCATTGCTTCGTGATGGGGGCAGGTCGTGTGGGCCTGCGATAGGCACGTGATTGGCGCAGTAGACTTCCTGAACACGGTCATCTCCAGAAGAAAAAAGAAAGAAAACGAAACGCTGTTGCCGTCATTCTTAAATACATTTGTGAAAAAGATTTCCTATGGAGGATCTCTAGAGCTCTAATAAAAGCAGTTTTACCTCTTATCTTTTGGAGGACAACAAATTGACAAAGAATTCATCTGATGAGGTGAGAGCACCGAATACCTCACCGTTTAGCAAGCAAGTCTGCGCAAACTAAATTGACACTGAGCAACTCAACGAATTTATAGATGGAACTCGGTTAGAAACGATGGCATTGGCCGCACATGAAAGCTGTGATCATAATATGCGCTGTTTATGGTTCATTACTACATCTATCTTAAATGTTTCCTGTCTTTCAAAAGTGAATTTCTAGAAGTGGAAATCAGGATCTTTCTAAAAAATTGAGGAAAAATGCTTGGATTACGAATTCAGATATCCTTATGTATAAGAATTTATTAGAAGAGGCACATTACACGTACAAAGGAGCGGATAGCATAATGCTGTCCGTCATCACGAGCATGGTGTTAGATTCCGCGCCGGGCCAACCAAGTCGGGTTGCTTGAGAAGAAAAATCACTCTCTGCAATCCAATTGGGAACGCCCCAGCCCGGCTATTTCAGGATTCTAGGGAGAATTGCTCGACCAGTATTCCACGACTTTCAAGATGAAATGAAATTCCTCAAGCAGCAACCAAAGCCATATGTAAAGTTGGAAGATGTTCGTGGGTAATGGATGCGAGGAAACGAATCGAATGGGGAAGGCGCTGGGATCCGCACAGTAAACGTGAAAACAGATAACATAAAATAAAAAATAAAAAAATAATTATACACATACAGGGAGAACGTTGAAATTGCCGTTATTGTGATTGTTGGAACTTTTACAGAGGATGTTGTTTAGGACGAAGGTATCACCGCAGCAAAAAATTCAACGAGAACCAACTTCGGTGTAGCTGAGAGACAGGCGAAACGAAGGACTCACATAGTGTGGTGGTGAACGCGTTACTCTCCGGAAAGGACAATAGCGCGTTCGTTCACCACCATAGACACCTGCGGTCCAGAGTTTTGCAAATATCTCAGCAACGTTGTGGTTGTATTTCGCTTAGTAACCTGCCATGAAAATTATAGAAGGCAGAAAACAAAAACGTTAAACAACTTCGGTATCTTCTAAAAATCACTCTTGCTGACCCCTAAACGAATTCTCTTCGATAGCAAGAGCACGTCGGAAATCCTCACAAATCCCCCACTACACTACTTAGCCAAATCCAAAAAGTTTTACGACGTCTGTTTGCACAGATATTGTCGAAAAGTGTGTCAATGCTGCAATGTATCATACTTTACTAACGAAAAAAGGTACAGCAAAACCAGTAAATCGCACGACAAGCCAGAGAAACAAAAAAGTTGTCCACGCCCTTGCTCTACTTTGCATATCCACTGAAAATAAAACTGATGTAGCACGTCAAAAAGAAACATATCAGGACGATGACATAAAGACCCCAAAGACGGAATATAAGTGCGAAGGAGTTATACAGCAGCCCTTGAATGAATACTCTACAGTATAATGATGCGAAAATTAAGCTAAAAGGGCCAAGAACAGTACGATTCACGTCCATACAGCAGGAATGTTGCATGGACAAGAACCGTGTCCGAAGAAAAAGTGCGCGTAGATTTCTAGTTATGAAGGACGACTACTCTTCAGCGATGAAAATAATAGCAGAAATTTCTTCTCGATTTCCGTTCGAAGGACGAAATCTGAAAATTGTCGGAAATTTCCAGAACACCTGATTACTCAAAAATGATTTACAACTGGTTATGAACAATTCACCAAGGAATTCAAGAATATTGCAAATTAATAAGCCGGTAGCTTATTCCATATGTCAAACTTAATCAAAGTCCTTGTAATAGCCAGTTCGGCTAATGGCTCAGCTACCTAAGTTAAAATTCCAATGGACAGTACTCACGACACGATTCATTCACTAGGATGGGTGAAAAGGACTGAAGTTTTGAACACAGCGTCTTCTTCGAGAATATTGACTATAACTAATACGACTGCTTGAAAGTAGTGCTTATACGACTATTTGGAAGAACATCGTTCGAACCCAGTTTACGCCTTTCCCTCATACTTGGCGACTTCCTGTCCACCGATTCAATGTTTATTCATAATGGGTTTGCGATCGGCGATCGAAATGCACTCGTAACCGGCGTGAAATTCAGAACAAACAATACGTGGTTATGTATGAACGATTTTAAGAGAATGAGCGCACAGTGAAGAGGAGGAGAAAAGTATATAGAAAAAAAAACAATAATGCTCAGCTAAATTCAAAATGGTCATCTTACAGGTCAGATGGAACACTGAAGGAATTATGCTCAACATGAAGCACAGACTCTGCCTTATCTGATGTGCTAAATCTATGCATTATCCAAAGATCCCACAAGGGAACGTTTCAGGCAACGCCGTATTTCCAATAAATGATGGTCGAAAATAATAAGACAAATGAGGAAGTCAGGCCAGAGAGCCTGGCTTAGTCTGTCGCTATGAATACATAAAAATTTTAGCGGTAAAGTTTTTCTTTTCTGCATGCATTAAAATTCAAAAGATATTTTAAATATCTTACATTATCAAGTTTAGTGACAACAACTCTGTGAAATTTTTTTGAGATTTAACGACCACATGTGCTTCAAGTGCTTGAGCTACTTAAGCTTAATCATTGACAACTGCTCAGCTTAAGAAATGCTGGTTCGCAGTCTCTAATCGCATCTCATCTCATCGCTAGCGTGGCCTTCTGCGGCAAGTTCTTTTGGACCGTTGTCGATCTTGTGATGCAGCCTCTTGAAAATCTGCCACCTAAACGGGACCTACCTTATCGTTTTGATCGCTGCGATTGTTACAATAGGTCTTCAACGCCAATCGAGTACCGCAAATATAGCACTTGAAGCAGCCTGGAAAAATACACAGTGTCAAGCAATTCGGATGGAAAATGAACCCAGCAAATTACTGACGAAAAAAAAGACGAGTAAAAAAAAAGGAGGAACAAGTTGCACACATTCGAAAAAGATGTGAGGCTACATCTAATTATTCATAAAGTAAGTTTCTCCAGAAGACCAAAATGTCTTGAAAAAGGTCGATCAAACCTTAGCACTAAGTTTGGAGTTATTTTAGTCATTAGCAGCAACAAAGTCACTATCAGCTTTCATAAACAGATATAAAAAGATTTTACAATAACGAGTAAACTAAGCGCTAATACCACCACCTGCAAAGCGCCTAAACTTGACACTAACTGCCTGGCTGAGTGGGCACCAGCAAAGTACTCCTTTATCCCCCGGATATGCAAAACGTGAACTTGGGCCCTGCTGGCCCGAAGAACACAAAGCTCTCACGATTCTCATATTTAGTAATTTTCCTCGTATTTTTGTTGAGCAAACGCGAGGTGTTATTATTCTTTGTTCACGATTAAGCTGACGTTTCGGCGGATTTCGCCTTCTTCAGAGCCTGGAAAGGTCAAGTTGATAGCAATCCACTCGGCCAGACGCCTCCATAACCAAACAAAGAAACTCCAAACCAAGATTTCAATCACGTTGAACACAGCTTTGCACACTCACCGCTTTCTATGAGCTTCCCACTAAGTATGTCACGTAGAGACTAACCGCACAGAAATCACATGGAAGTATATTGTGCCCCTCACATCAGAAAAGCAGTTTTATATACTGCCCTATATCACGCGTGATAATGAGGCATTCCTCCCTGCGGTTCATTTTCAGATTTCTGGAATTAATCCAGAGTGCCTCGAGAGTTTTTTGCGCCTGTGTTCTTGATTCGCGTGGGAGGATCGTGACACATACTTCGAGGTCGTCCCCGTTATGTCTCTGGGTCCTATGCGTGCCTAGCGGGGTATTTGGTCTATTTTTGCCGGTTAGGTGTTCTTTCATGCGGACACAGAAGGGTCTACCCGTTTCGCCAATGTATTCGTCACCACACGTCTTACAGGAGATCAGATAAACTATACCCGAGCTCATGCAATCACCGTCTCTACCACTGGGGCAAATTATGCAATTTTGAGTTGCACATAGACGGTCATATAGGCGGTTACGAACTAGCTGGCGCTTAAGATTACTCGGTGGTATTTCAACTACGCTCACCGAATTCTCTAAGCCCGCCGTTCTTAAGCAGCGTTTTATAGCTGTACTTATATCATTTGAGATGAAGGGTAGGATAAACGAGACCCTTCTATCGCTAGAGTTGTCGTTTGGAGGCCTACGATTTCCTTTACACCTATTCTGAGCTACAGTTTCGTAGCCATTAGAAATGGCTATTTGCCGCGCCAAGTTCCGGGACTCATCTCTCTGCTCTCTTCACGTGCACACGTTGGTTGCTGTTCGAAACATGTTTCTTATAAGCGCTCTTTTCGTGTGAGAGGGGTGAGAGGAGAGGTAATGAACCAAGATGTTTTTAGTACTTGGCTTTCGGTACCACTTTGTAATGTAGCCATTTTCTGATGGGTGAATTTGTACGTTCAAAAATGGAAGCCATTTTTCTTTCGGCTTTTCTCGGGTGAACTTGATATACTCTGACTGTGCGTTTAACAATTCGAAGCATTTGTCCATTTCCTCTTGTGTTGAGCAAAGGACAAAGCAGTCGTCTACATACCTACAGTAGAGTAGCGGCCCGAGATCAGTCACCGGTGCTTCCACCTTAGACATAAATGCAATGGCAAGGCTTGGAGCCAGTCGTTGTCCTATTGCCAACCCTCTTATTTGAGCGTAGTACTTTCCAGACCAACTGAAGATTGAGCAGCTCAAGCATTCTTTTAAGAGTGCCATCAGGTGCTCTATCCTAAAGCCATACATGTTTATTTCTCCTTCGTGTTGTGTAAGGAGTTCGAATATGGCTTGCATTGCGGAGTCATTCGACACGTTTGTATAAAGGGCGGTGACGTCGAAGGACTCCATCACGCACGCGCTGTTGGGCTGCGCAGTACGTAGACGATCCAGAAACATCTGGGTATTCGTAAGATGGGCTGGAATGTGTTTCAACAACTGGTTAAATATTAGGGTTAAAACCATGTTATCCTGTCCGTTGGCCCGTCTACGCAGCTAATGATAGGTCTAACCTTAAATAGTGATGGATCGTTAGACGCAAGATCAACGCTGGATACTAACTTATGAGTTTTTATAAGTAAGTACAAGACGGGGCATGTGGGTAAGTCAACATTAAGTTGAGAGATAACGTTGAGTTGAGTTGAGATAGTTGAGTTGAGTTGAGAGTTGAGTTAGTTGAGAGTTGAGTAGATAGTTGAGAGTTGAGAGAGTTGAGAGTTGAGACTTTAAGTTGAGATAGTTGAGTTGAGATGGTTTTAAACCAGCAGCTCTTGCTATTTTGACCCATTCGTGGTTTAGTTTTCGGTATTTACTTTTGAATTCCTCCTCAGATGATGGGCGATAAAGCGAAGCATCTTCAAGATGCTTTTTCGTTATCTCCACATCTAACTGATGAGGAATTACGACAAACTCTCCACCCTTATCACTAACGGAAAGTCTTATGGTTTTATATGGTTTTTTTATATGATCTTATGGTTTTCTCATATTTAGGCTTTATGCATACTGTTTTTGGCAAAGAGATCCCCATGGGATAGCTCGTCATAATCTAAGCTTGTACGTCATGCGCATATTCATCGAAGGTGAGTCACAATCTTGCATATAGTTTACAATCACTTAATTGCAGAGCTTCGATAAAATTGATATGAAAAAAAACTGGCGTGCACGTAATAAAATTCAAAAAACAAATTAACACGTATATATTAGAGCTATCCTCCCCAGCAGGGCCTCCTAAGCTGAGAAGGAGCCCGACATTTTCATCTGAAAACCCAGCTAAGTGTAAATCTCTACCACTGATCACTACCGTCCTGGTATCAAACTAGTCGCACAGTTGCAAACCTGATCTACAGGGGTGGGACTGCTTGGGGTAGTGGCGAACTGAGGAAGGTTTCCGCTAGGATAGCCTCAAGACTCCAGAAGAGCACATTGGTTAAACAAGCAAATTTTAATTAATCTGAAGCTCGCACTTCTTGTAAAGACGAGCCATCCAGGTATTCAAGTATATTGAAGCTGTTACCAAATCCAAAATGAAGCCATTACAGTAGACCTTTGTGGAAATGCCATATAACTGTTATCTTTTAGTGCAAGGCAAAAGTTAACAATGATACGAATAAAGAACCAACTATCCGTCGAACAGGTAGCAATCACTTACCCTGGTGGAAAAATGTTGAATCCTTAAGTGGACCAACTTTATCGGTAGGATAAACTTGCTTGTTACATCTGTTGCATGTTTGCTTCGCCATCCTGGAATTAATAAACTATGTGGTATTTTTAGGATATCTGTTTGCAGAACGAGTTGTTGCAAATAATTGAGAGCAGGAACTCCTATGAAGACATGGAAGATCGCATATTTCCGAATATAACCAAAATTCTAATATTTTCTTATGTTTAATATTAAATAGCCAACTAAGGCATGAATAAAAACGCTTGGTATTACTCGTTTCAAAACGATGACACAGGTCTAATAAATCACTAATTTCCTATGGAAGCTTCTCATATAACACAAAACATGGTGGCATTTCTGGTAGTTCTCAAATGTCCACAGAAGAAGCGTTCGCATGACGAACACGTTCTTCGCATCACACCTTAAAAAGTTCCCAGCTTCCCAGCGACTACTAACACAAACACGATCCTTTCTCATACCAATTTTGCAAAAACAAGTCACTTCTGACAGTGTGCGAACTTGTCAAATTACGACGGTGAGTTCCTGATTCACCCACCTATCGGATGCGGCGCGATATTCGACTAACACTCGACCACAGCCAGATAACTCGTACGAACTCTGAAAACGTTGCTAGCAATCAATTTGCAGTAAAATGTAGTTTTATTCTAATGATCACGTATAGCGCTACGGTATTCAGATTTGCGACAACAGATAACAAAACGCTGTAGAGGAAGTTCGTAAAAATATAAAGTGACAACGGACGTCGAAGAAAACGAAAATTATTGCTAACATATTAAAGACCTACCAAATTGATAAATCAACGTTCTTGCTGCATTTCATTAGATTTATATGTACTTCAAAACCAATGGGACGAATACACAATGAAAAGAGTAAAACTATGATTAAGCAATGCTCATCTCAAATTGGAGAGAGAATAGAATTGAGGAATCAGATAAAGGAGGAAGACGACGAAGCGTTAGCAGGGTGAGAATTTTCTGAGAAAATCGTGTAAGCAGAACAAACCAGAAAGATATTGCCTATTCATGTCGAGCTTTAGTAATAACCCGTTTAGAAAACGATTCAAGAGATGTTTCCCAAGAGTCATTCCATTGCCTACTGTGCAGTGTCCACGCAACGTTACCTATTGGCAAAACTGGTCAGAGGCAAAGTTAGGTGTAGGGCATGTTACTTCTTGTGGGCGGATCGTAGTGGGCGTGAAGTATATCAAAGTAACTCGAAAAGTGCCTGGAAATTGGAAGCCGGATCAGTAGCCCCACAGAAACGCTGATGGCAGACTGGAAAAAATAAGCCAGTTATTTGCTGTGGCAACCAACTGACTTTGTTTGTGAACGGTCTTCTAAGACCAAGAAATGGATGGAATATGTCCGTATCAACAAAATTGTTATTTAAAAACACTGCAACGACCTAGTAGTTATATTAGCTAAGTGAAAGTATAACTGTTTAGGTGTTTAGTAACTTTCTCAGAAATTCCTGGATTCGTAAATGCTCATAGATCGAAAGAGGAACATCGAAAACAGCATTTTTTTGACATCCGATACACTCACAGAGTAGTAGACAACTAACGATTGTTCCGTTGCTCCGCTTCGGTAGTGGAACCAAAGAAAATACAGCGCCTTTCACTTCACTTCACTCTTCAATATGGAACAAACCGTGTAGACAACACAAGACGCTCACACAAAATCTAAGCACCATTAAAGTTTTCCGTTAGAGTTTTTGAAGAGATAAACTATCATCTGAAGAGAAAATTTTCGCCTCTCGTTTTCAAAATGCTTTACTAGTAGGCTTCTCTCTCACTTGCAAGAACAACAAAATCGTGAAGAAAGATTACAACCAACTAAAATCAAACACGTATAGAAAGAAGGTACTCAATTCAAAATTAGAAAAATGCTGCTCAACGATTTAAGAAGAAGCAACAGCGCTGAACGATATCAGAGTTCTGATCACGTAATTTCGCTACAAACGCGGCATGCCCATTCGATGAAAATGGGATGGAACCGGCCGCACGTCTGCCTCGTTCCAAGATGGCAAACATCTTACTCATCCGATCAAACCAGTAGTGTACATAACCAGACAGCAAAAACGCAGTGAAAGTTGACAAGGCCATTCTTATTTTAGTAGATATTTGTTTTCTACATGATATTCCTTAAAGGATGACGCCCACTTGTTCAGAAGGAAAACTACAAACGAATACATGACATTTGCAAATTAGTCACATGGTTAGACGAAACAGTAACAGTATAAATAACGAAGAAATAATACAAAGGCGGCGAAGAAAGATGATATCGAAGTTTCCAGAGTAGTGCAGTTCGATTACGGTAACTATGAGTAATAAAGTAAACATTTGCAGATGGAACAGTATAAGCCCTAATGCTTCAAAACAAATATGGAAAGGTCTTTTAGGAAAACCTCTAAAGAACGTGAACGAAAACAGATGGGGAATTCAATAACTCGCTGTTCTGTTCTCATCTCCGTCATTCTCAACTATCTATCACAGCTTAGATTTCCTTTAGTATAATGTCGGAAAAGTCACAATTATAAAGAAAACTCTGTACAAGAGTTGTATGTGTGCTCTACTGTCTACCAGTATGCTATCAATTTAAAGGACTCTCCAAGTAGTCAGTGGACTTGTGAAAACCGAGAAGCGCGCTTCACGCCGTCTCGAGCGATCGGGCAAACACCGGCTGCAAGCACGACCACCACCTGTCTGGGAACAGGTCAGCCATCATCTGTGCCAAACAGAGACGGAATCAACCTCCGGCCACCTCATTGTTAATGAGCGTATGGCAAATAACAAAAAATTAAAACTGTACAATCCGAAGATCCCTTTTCACGAGTATTGTTTGATTTTTCAACTACAGTACTTTGGATGATTGCCTAATATTTTGATGGATCTACTCTCAATTAAATCCATTGAAGTAACTTTCTAGCGGAAAAGGATAAACTTAGTTCGAACGACACCTTTAGATGTAAAACTGAAAATATATTGTCATTCAAAAGAGAAAATTATGCAAATTAGAGCAATCATATGGTCAGAACAGAAACTCACAATAACATTGCAGTGTAATAAAAATGGCGAAAGTCGCCAAGCCATCTCCTCACTACGAGGAATTCTCAAAACGATGGAAGGTAAACCGAAATTTCTCATGCATCGAACGTATTACAACTAATTCTTTCCGATTTAAAGTATTATTTACTGCCTATTCTTTTTAACGGCAGTGTATACATTATGAAATATAACTTCAATGATGCTGAGATATTTGCAAAACTCCGGACCGCAGGTGTATGCGGTGGGGAACGAACACACGCTGTTGTCATTACCGGGGAGCAGCGCACTTCACTACCACACCATCCGGGTCCTTCGTTTTGCCTGTCTCTCAGCTAGTTCTATCGACCTGTTTCACAATGTATACCCTACCGTTAAAAAGAATTGGCAGTAAATAATACGTTAAATTGTGATTATAACTGCGGCCACAGCTTAACTGGGTTCGTTGCCGATTTGGGCTCCCCAGATCAATCCCGTTGACAGGTGATTGCTGATGGCAAAAGATCAAGAGAACTAGCTGAGAGACAGGCAAAAGGAAGGACCCGGATGGTGTGGTGCTGAAGTGCGCTGCTCCCCGGTAAGGACAATAGCGCGCGTTCGTTCCCCACCGCATACACCTGCGGTCCGGAGTTTTGCAAATGTCTCAGCATCATTGAAGTTATATTTCTTTTCGGTTCTTTAAAACTAAATTCCTGAATTGTTTTCAAAATTTGCCACATTTCAAGGGCCGCATGTGGCGCACTGGTCCCAGGAGCCCTGCGACACACACACAGGATCGATCCCCGCATGAAGGCTCAACAAGCTTTTCATTCCTCCGGAGTCGGCAAATCGGTACAAGACGCGTCTGATAGGTTAGCAGCAGTGGCTAGATACATCAGTAGGCCACTGCGACTCATTGCAAGGGCCAGATATGCATTCAATCACCTCCAAAGGTGCTTAATGAACTCGAATTCATGGCGTATCCGTCAAGAATTGATCAACACCGAGAGCTTTATCCTTTTTTTTACTACATTTCTGGTGGAAATATCCACGTATTTTGACTGTACCATTTAAAGACTCTACCACTGATCTCCCTCATATGAGGGATCTCGAGCCGGTTAGTCGCGAGGTTATGTGGCGCGTCCCCACTGTACCCCGGAACACGCGACAGTAGAGGAGTCAGCGGCGTCGGTGTTCTCGTCAGCACGAGTTTGTTCATGAACATTGATTTATTCGAACAACGTACAACCCGAATCGGATGTTTACCATTAAAAAGACGTGGATCAATTCCGGCTCTGACAAACTTCGTCGTTCACGCGCCAACATCAAACTATGACGAAGAAGAAGTCGAAGCGCTCTATATGGACTTGGAGAAGTTCTACAGAGAAGACCACACATTCCTCAAGTTCATCATTGGTGATTTCAGAGCCAACACTGGACCAAGAAAAACGTTTGAAAAACGTCACGTTGTGACCCCCGGATTAGAATGGAAAGAACAGGATGAGCGGCAGTCTGAGTTTATCATGGCGACCAAGACAATCCACGGTAACTAGCAATTCCAGAAGCCACACTCTCAGCGCTGGACGTGGGAATCTCGCAATGGAGAGTACAATGACGAAAGGGACCACATGATAGTAAATAGAAGGCTTTGAATAACCGATGTTGCTGTTGTCTTAAAATTCTAAACAGGATCAGACCATCATCTCCTTCATGCTAGATTCCATTCCTCGCGGAAGGGAGAAAGAGCAGCTAAATTCCAAAACCGAAGTCCCAGAACCACTTAAACTGAGACTCATTTCATTAATCGGCTGTTGAAAAGATGCCGTTGCCGATAACATCGACGGAAGAATACTATCAACTCATTCAACAACTTCACGTTAGCGCTATGATAGCTGAGAGTGCGAAAGTCACCACGAGAAGTCTGTCTCCAGAAACACTCGAGCTGATACGCCAGCGTGGAATCGCACAAGCTGCAGGCAACCGCGATCTAACGTCCGAACTTGCAAAACAATGCAGACAGGCGATTTAAAAGATATTAATCAGAGATGAGCAGCACTTCTGCTCGAAGCTGCAGAGGCCACGAAAAACATTCGCAAAGCCCACCGAAGCTTCGCCAATTACATGACCAAGATGACTGCACTCCTACACCCAGACGGAACAGTTACAGCGTCCAAAAAGGCAATGAAGAAAATTATTCACAAATACTACTGATCTCTTTGATAGCTACGTCCACGTTCCGTCGTATGAAATAAAGGAAAATGGTTATGTTGTACCACTGGTTCTCTCTTCCGAAATCCGATATGAGATTTCGCCGGTGAAAAGTCGAACAGCACCAAGTCCGGACATAATAAGACCAGAAGACCTAAAGAACCTTCTGCCAGTCCTCGTAAACACACTGTCTCGGCTGTTCACACGTTACCTGCTTTTCACTGGAGTCATCCCAAACAGGGCTGACAGAACATTAGGCGAAGGAGAGCCATGTGAGCAAGCAGAGTTTCAAAAAGGATTTAATACGATGGACCACATCCACACGGTAACTCGGCTCATTGAAGTATCGCGAAAGTACGAAAGACTGCTCTGTCTCACTTTCATCTATTTAAAGAAGGCATTTGACTCAACTGAGATAGAAGCAGTCATGAAAGCCCTTGATAGTCAAGGAGTCCCTGCTCAGTACATAAACTTACACACTTTCGTGAGCTGTAGAAAAATTTCACCATCAAGGTATTACCATTCTACAACGATATTAACATTGACGTCAAAAGAGGAGTTAGGCAAGGCGATACCATCTCGCCAAAATTATTTACCGCCACCCTATAGAACGTCGTTCGAACACTGGAATGGGATAATGTAGGAGTGAAAATTTATGGTCGGCAGTTACACCATCTTCGCTTTGCTGATGACATCGTCCTTATAACACCAAACATTAGCCAAGCGGATCGTATTCTTGACGACTTTGATAAAGCCTGTGGAAACATTGGTCTTCAACTAAATCCCACAGGAACCATGTTCGTGAAGAACTGATTGGTTTCGCGTGCTCCATGCACGCTCAACGGAACGAATATCTCCGAATGCTCCAGTTATATCTATCTAGGTCGGGAAATCAAAATGATGAACGACCTAGCACCAGAGCTGAGCAGAAGGAAATGAGCGGCTTGGGGAGCTTTCAAGAGCATCGAGGATGTAGTGAACAGAAAAAGGAACATCCGACTCCGTGCCCACCTTTTCGACTCAATGACACTTCCTGCCCTAACGTATGCGTCAGAAACCTGGACGATGCGTAAGCAGGATTAGAGATCACTTAAAATTATCGAACGCGCAGTCGACAGAACGATATTAGGAGTATCTCGTTTCACAAAAGTAAGAGATGGAATCCGAAGGTCCGATCTGCTTCAGTGATCAAAAATCAAAGATGCTGCTCTGTATGCCAAACAGACCAAAATAAGGTGGGCCGGAAACGTAATGCCTATGAATGACAACCGATGGACAACAGCCTTTAGTGACTGGATTCCTCGGGATGTCAAACGTACTGCAGGAAGACCACCGACCCGATGGTCAGAGTGCTTCACAAAGAGCCCTGAAGAAAGATATGATGCTCGACGAGTCCGTAGAGCGAGCAGAACCCACTGAGCTACTCTTGCACGCGACAGGGAAAAATGGAAGATTTACTGACGCCCGCTCGAGTCACTCGACTATCAACGAGACTACAAGTGATACAGGTGATGCCATTAAATATTTTGCGTGAATTCTAAGCTGACATGACGAGATTCTTTCATGCCTCGGCGGCGGTATAGAAAACTGATACAAGTCTTATAATATTGTGTACTGTGTATATATATATATATTAACATGTAAAACTGCCACAGCACAACCGCAAACGTGCTGAGATATGAGCAAAACTCGGGATCATCTTTCAAAACTTTGAAGATACCAAGTTTTGGTTCATACACATCCTAAAGGCTGTAGCAAACCTGGACTAATTAGGATGACTTTGAAGACCACACATAGGTGGTTCAATAGGATAGCTTATTTATGTAGGAATAACAATGTTACATAAGCTAATTTAGAGTATTGTTTCAGAAATTCTTAAAGAGAAGTGTAGGTTTTCAAGGAACGATGTCAAGAATCCTAGAAAACGAGAATAGAATATTTAATACCACTACTCCATAGTCAAATATTATGAAAAATTTCAAAACACCCTGCATAAACAGCACACCAGTTGCGACGTTCTTTTTTATTGTTCCTTCAGAGACAGTTCTTGGGAGAAAATTTGGAAAGTGAAACAAATATGGCTGAGTTAAGAAGTACCAAGTAAATTAAATATTACCTGCGTCAGTTCTTATGCATAATCGACGGTGTTGACACATTCATTGATTTATTCATATCTACAGCGCTCTAGTACTGTACAGTTAGCTCTATTAACCAATGGGTCATGAAGAACATTACACTTTTTGTATAATGTCTTTCTCGCTGCTGCTTTCATAGTGATGGCACTCATATCACTGTTGGCTTAGATAAGCCGTGGGGCATTGAATACCCGCGGATAACTCAATGGGCTTTACCGCCGTAGATACAGATAACGGATAAAAAGGCCAAAGAGCGTTCGGCGATGACTGATCCCCGAGGGAGGGTGCGTTAATCACAAGCCTGGTGAGCCTAGGGCGCGGGTTTGAACAAATGGCCACGTGGATGTTTCTGGGTAGCTTTAACCACTGCGCTACACACGCCCATAGAAGCGCGTGAAGTAAAAGTAGCCAGCCACACCTAATCAAACCATAAGGGATGGGCCACGCACTTGACATCATTAAGCATCGTTAGAAGTGAATCAATGAATATCTGGCCTATACAACGAAGGACCTGCGGTGGCTTACCGATCTATCAAGTCAGTGCCGTTATCCTCTCAGACAAGTGTAATATCTATTTGCCAATCCCAGATGGATGAAAGGGTTGATGAACTCGGGCTGCGATATCGAACCAACGACCACGTTTGTATCGCAGTGCACCTCTTTCCACTACGCTACCCGTGCCCTCCTTATGTGAATACGAAGCACTGAATGAACTGAATCAAAATATGAGAGACACCAAGGAAAAATTATTCATCATAACCAATAGAGGTAAAAAATTTAAGCAAACTTAGGAAAAAAATCTTATCTTTGGAATTGAAAAGATCGCGTTCCGCATGTGCTTGTTCATTCTAATTTCCAAGGCTGTTCAAAGTATTTACACATGCAGGTAAAATGAAAGATTTCACTTATTTTATAAAACATTCATTGAAAATTTCATAAACGAGGAAAAGCGGAAACCAATGGAATCCTGGAAGTCAAGGAGAGGCAACATACACAGCGAGTCGAGAATTCCTAAGATGGTCCGGATAGAAGTGCGAACGACATGCTTTGCATCGTACCGGCCTGTTATCGAGAACGAATCTCCGTCCCTCAGTCGGACAATGCAGGTTCGCTGACTCAACACCACCATTCATTCGACTTCCAATCGGCGATAATTCATCGAAATTCCATACATTGTCGATTTTGACAAACATGGTCGATTTCCTGGAGAAGGAAAAAGACGTAATTTATTGTGGACTGACTCACTACACGAGCAACCGAAATGTCGTGCCATTTTGGGAGTTCAAAAATAAAAGGTTAACGGATGAGTAAAAGAAATTGCTGTAAAATAATCACTATTAAGAAATCTTCGGTTAGCGTCTTCAAACTAAGATAGTATTTGCCTTAGTATTTCCTTCTACGTAGAAATGACGTCATCTTAGAAAAATCAATGCTTACATCAGCAATTCATTGTGAAATTTTTGTGCAATTAAATGATCAGTGTACGGAAAGGGTACTAAACTGACTACTCAACCATGAGGGCGCGTACGGAGCAGAGGCGCCCTGCAATACACATAGGGTTGATCACGCTCCATCCCTCCGGTGTCGGTAAATTGAATTGAGTATCGGATTAAAAAGGCAATTGTAAGAACAATAGCGAGATCTGCAATAAAAACCACATGGCCATCAAATCCACTGCAATCAGAAGTAATGTGAGATTCGTCTACTAGCCCATAGTTCGACATTCGAATTCACTTTTCTGTTAGTGGAAATGGAAACGTTTCGCAGAAGCTGGCTGGAAAATCTACAGAACAGACACTTCCCATGGAAAAACTTAGGTTCTGAAAGATTGTTTGCACTGTACCCGTTTCTTCTGCTAACATTATGGCGCAAAAACTAGAAGACAAAAATTGAAGTTCATTCGCTAATCTGTTCGAAATATTCCAGCCACAATCCACTTGTAACATCGTGAACAAGAAGATCATCCTACAATGAAAGAAGATCGTTGTTCTTTCTTCACATACCAGTCCACTAGAACATAAAGAAGCGAGAATTACGGCAGAGGGCTTGCTTGGTATGAGCTGAGGTTAGAACTGACATCTAATGTGGAGACATGCTCTTCAATACACTACAGAAAAATGCATTCAAGTTTCAAACTTTCAACCTATGAAGGTATAAAAAGTGGAATTATACTGTTTTAGATAAATATATTCTAAAGAGATGCATTGGCG